ACTTCCCTCCCTTTCCCCCTCCCAGGGGAGGCACCATGAGATGACACCACCATGGCTGGAAAAGGCTCCTTGCTATCCCCTTCACCCTCTGCAGTGCCTGGGTCCCTACCCACCCCTACTCCTTGCTAAGGGCACATGGCAGGGTGTGCGCCCCCACCCACCACCCTGCTGTCTGTGTGTGCATGAGTGTGCGTACTGTGTGCACAACTCACTTTCCAGGACACTGTCGTCAGAACGGCAGTGAACAGTTGCTGCTGCTGCTGTGTACCTGGCGATGAGCTAAACACTTTACTGCACAGTGTTCCTGAGAGGTAGGAAAGGTTACTCTTAACATTTTAAAAATGTGGGAAAAAACAGATACAAGAAGTAGCTCACTCAAGGGGGTGCAGAGGGTCTGGGCAGAGTCTGTTGGGCTCTAAGGCTGTTTTCTCCATCACTGCCCTGATGTGTATGGAGTACCTGGCTGGTGCAAACGGTTAAGTGCTCGACTGCTAGTCCAAAGGTTGATGTTTACATGTACCTAGAGGTGCCTCAGAAGACAGGCCTGGCAATCTGCTTCCGAAAGATCACAGGCTTGGGAATCCTATGGAGCAGTTCTACTCTGCATGCCATGAGTCAGGATCGACTCCATGGCAACTAACAACAGTAACAGCAAGCCCTGGACGTCACCCCCTTCCTGAGCGGGGTTGCCAGTCCCAGCCCCTCCGCCTTAGCCTTGGGTCCTTCCATCCTCAGGCTGAGAGTCCCTGGGAATTTGTTCCAGAGACAGGTGGAAAAACGACTCTGCTCCAAGCATCAGTGCCTCCTGCTGTTCAAACATTTTGTCCTTCTGCTGCAATTTCATGCTTGGCCCTTCCCTTCAGGGCAGCACAGAGCCCCCTCCTCTGTGGGTCGATCTGCCCAGGCTCCTCTCCCCTACACACAGCTGCCCCTCCAAGGAGACTTGTGGGACTTACCCCAGCATCATTTGGGCTATTTTGCATGTTGTAAATACCCCTTCTTTTCTTTAGGCTTCTAAACCTATTGAATTGAAGTAGCATGCAGGAATGTGTGTATGGGGAGTCACATTGCCCCTGTTGGAAAGGCTGCATAGAAGAGATTGGTGACCTTTAGAACGGAGAGAGCCCTTGGAGATCAGGAGCCCAAGTCCCTTTCTTTACAGATGGGGAAACTGAGGCCCAAGGAGGGGATGTAACAGAGAGGATGGGCAAACTGATAGGCAGAAATTGTCAGGCCTTTGCTCTGGCGGTGACGCTAGAACAAAGGTAGGCTGAAGGCCAGTGGTAGAGGCTCCGGGAATCTGATCCATGAATTAGGGGTCTGCTCTGTGAGGCATCACCTCTAAGAAGTGATCAAGAGACCAACCAGTTAAGGGCAAAGATAGGGGTTTGGACCCCAGGGCTGCCATGGTGTGTGACTCCAGAGCTATCACATTGTGGTCTAGTTAAAGGAGCCCCCTGGAGTTGTGCAGTGCACAGCCTGAGCACCCAGACGTGGCAGCTGTGTCAGGTAGGAGCTAAAGGGAGGAGGCAGTAAAGGAACTTCCATGTTGCCAGGGGAATCCAGGTGCAAAAGGAAGTGTAATCAGGTCCCAGAAAGGATTGGATAAAACCTCCGAGGGTGGATCCCAAAAGGGTTACTGCCAGCTCACAGTCTCTGAGGAAATTTCAATCACGTGGACTGGAATTGTTTTGGTGACCCGGGTCCAGCCTTGGGAGAAATGAGGGAAGGCGAGCCCTTGGTCTTGTCCCAGGGGGAGCTCTCAGTCGGGAGGGACAAAGGAAGAGGGAGGCCTACCTTGGGGATGAAAGGAGGGAGGGAGGGGAGGATTCAGGAGCTGTGTTTAGGAAACAAGTTTACAGTAGAGGTCCCCAGGTGGCGCAAATGGTTTGCCTTTGTCTACTAAATTAAAGGTTGGCCATTTAAAATCCACCCAGCAGCACAGCTGAAGAAAAGCCTGGTGATCAGCTTCTGTAAAGATTACAGTAAAAAAAAAAAAAGACCAAAACCCTGTGGACCTGTTCTGCTCTGTAACACATGGGGTCACCATGAGTCAGAATTGACTTGATGGCAATGGGTTTTTTTTTTTTTTTTGGAATTTACAGTAGAAAGCTACTTACGGGGGCAGGCCCCAAGTGCAGTACAGACAGGAGGCCAGTGAATGGCTTGAACATGGAAGGCTGGATGTCTCTAGGAGATGGGCCTTAAAGGCTAGCAGAGCTTGGACAGGACAGTGACAAAGGGCAGGCTACGGGTGGGCGGTAATGGCTTGAACAAAAGCCTGGAGGTTGGAATGGGGCAGGTGTGTGTAAGTGTGCAGGGGCTGCTGTGGGGTGGGGTGGTGTGGGGTGAGCAGGAGGTGCCCAAGAGTAGAGAGATCTGTCTGGTTAGGGTGGAGGGTTCCTTGAGGGGTGTGGAGGAGGGCTAACAGGAACTCCTGAGACAGAGTGACATGGTAAGATCTGGGTGTTTCCACATATCCCTCTGGCTGCTACTTGCAGGCCCTTGGGAGGGTGGAGGGAGGCCAGCCTGGCTGAGCTGCCTTTGTTGGGAAGGGTTTGTTCTGGCTCCTGCCAGCCACACTGCCCCTCCCTTCCTCCTTACCTCCCTGTGGCCCTCCCTCTGCAGCCCAGCAGGCTGGCAGGGTGTCTGCCAGCCCCGGGGCAGTGCCAGTATGAGGCCCCAGGTCCCCAGGCTGGGGCAGGAATAGCGCCATCAGCTAAGAGGGTTTGGACCCTCTCAGGCTGGGGCAGGAATGTCTGGAGAGACTGGAGGGGGGCCACAGGGCTGGGCTTTCCAGGCTGGAGGAACCAGTTTATTCTGCTCCCAGGTATTGGCCTCTGCTCCCAGGGGAGGAGCTGGTGGGCCGGAGTGCATCAAACCCAGTAACTGGAGTCAGTAAAGTACTAGTCCTGCAGTGGCAGAGCTGGAGAGGATGCTTCCAGATCCTCCTATTCAAATTTCTGGTTAATAAGAGGACCCTGAGGCTAAGGACGGATAAGTGTTTGCTCAAGGTCACAGAATAAGATGGTGGCAGAGTCAGGCTCGGTGAGACATCACCTCTAAAAACTGGTCACGGGACCAGCCAATTAAAGGGAGAGACAGGGGTTTGGGCCCCAGGACTGCCATGGCGCATGGCTCCAGAGCTATCACACTGTAATCTAGAGAAAGGCGCCCTTTGGAATTGTGCAGTGCACAGCCTGAGCGACCAGACATGGTGTCAGCTATGTCAGACAGAACTTGGATTTCCAGAATCAAGGTCTGGATCTTGGTCTGCTGAGTCAGGCTGCTTCTTGTCCCAGATCCTCTGGAGGTGGTCTGTGTCCTCTCATCATCCCAAAGCCAGACCTTCTCCGGGGCCTCTGGCTCCATGACTTCTGGGGGCAGGGAACCATGGCCCAGTCTCTCAGAGGAGAGAACCTTTGGAAACTTGGGAAAGGGACCAGCTCTGGGATTCTCAGGACTTTGGGGGGTGCCAGGGGATTTGAGGCACAACTCTGAGAAACTCTTAGGCCTAGGGTACCAGGGTTGCTGAGCTGTGTATCTTGGGAAGGGCATTCAGATTCTGCAAGGAGAATGCAAAATCACCTTCTCAGGTCCCCAAGGGGAAGGCTAGGGCCCAATCAAACGCTAGTGTCCAGACTCAAGGCCTTCCTAAAACTGTGCCTCCAGGAAGCCTTTGTGAAGGTACCTGCGGTTGGGGAAGCACTGGAGCTTGGGCAGGTCTCATGTTCCTATGTGGAGTTACTTGCCCATAGCAGCAGACATGGCAGGCCCCAGCAAGTCCCAGCTTGGAATCTTTTGTTGCCTCTTAGCCCTGGCTGTGGTGTCATTGCATGAGTGAGGACAATGCATGCAGCTCAAGTGGAGGTCCCACCGCAAGCATGTGACCAGAGTCCCCTCTCCCCGACAGGAGGATCTGTGACTTGGTCTCGGTTTGGGACATAGAGCACGAGGACATGGCTAGAACCCGCTTGCCAGGGCCACGTCTCGGTTGGATTGGCCAGAAGGTGTGGCTGGAGGAGGCTTGGAGATCTTCCAGCCCAACCTGTTAATTATGTAGTTTGGAATACTGAGGCCAGAAAGGCAAAGGGACACTCCTGGGTCTTTCTCTAAGATCTGGGTCATTTCCTCTTCAAGGATCAAGAAAAAAAGATAAGAAACCCAAACTTGTCACCACCGAGTCAATTCTGACTCACAGCAACCCTATAGGACAGGGGAGTAGAACTGCCCCATAGGATTTCCAAGGAGCAGCTGGTAGATTTGAAGTGCCAACCTTTTGGTTAGCAGCCGAACTCTTAACCACTGTGCCACCAGGGCTCCTCTTCAAGGACAGAGGGTGTGAACTCCTAGAGGCTAGTGAGGCTGTGGGGATTGAAGAGTTCTTGGTAGGACCCAGCTGCCTCCCAGGAATTCTCTGAGATTCCAGGCTTGGGAGAGGGAGGGACAGGGTCAATGTTTAGCATCCTGGGAGGTTTGGCCTAATGGGAACAATCTGCCTAATTTTTTTTGTTTTTTAATAGCAGTCTTCAAAATCCTTTCCTACCCAATGGCTCGACAGTATCTCTTTGAGGTAGCGCTGATATTATCCCCATTTTATGGATGAGAACTGAGGCCCAGAAGGATGAAGTGTCTGTCTCTGGAATCACACAAAGTTAGAGGGAGAGCTGAAATTAGAAATTAGGTCCCTCCTGCTCTTGGATTCCGCGTTCCTATGAGTTAAACTGTCTAGTGAAGCAGAGTTCCAGACCAGGGTCTGCTAGTAGTTCACTCTGGACAACCCACTGCCCACTCTGGGCCTCAGTTTCCTCATCTGTGTCTGTAAAAGGGGAGGGAGACGGGAAGAGTTGGGGGGCCAGAACTAGCTTTAAATTGCCCTTCAGCTCTGACACTGCTCTTTCTTCTTTTACGGCTTTACTTCAATGAAGGGGTCTCACCTCCTCAAGGCTGTCACCTCACATCTGATCCTCTCAGAAGGATGGTTGCGGGCTAGGGAAATAATGGGAGCTGAGGACGTGGATCTGGAGAGCGCGTGTTTCCTGGGGGTCCCGGGTCCCAGCCCATCACCAGATGTGCACGGGACCCCTGAGGAAGAAGGTAGCTGAGAGGATATGGTTACGGATGATACTAGCCAGGGCCCCCAAAAGGAGGGGGTGGGGGTGGGGGAGGAGAGAATGCATAACAAATGAGTTTGGAAATCAAATGAGATCTGAACTCCCCACCCACTCCCTCAAATCTCTCTATACACCCTCTTTTTAAATTCCTGTTTTCTAAAGAGAAAGAAAATGCTAATTGTACCCCCTTTCGCAAACGAATGGGAGCCTTCTGTGAGTCACTCCGGAGGTAAATGCCACCTCCAGTGCCCCATGTCTGCCTGCGGAGGCCTGCACAGCTGTGTGGCCACCGCCTTCCCCTCCTGGGGGTAAGTGTGGGGGTACGTGTGTGTGTCTATGTGTGTGTGTGTGTGTGTGTGTGTGTGTATGTATGTGGAGGGCAGGTGGGAGCCTCTTGCTGTCAGCAGTTCTGGGTGGGAGCCTGGTCCTAGCAGGGGGGCCCCTGAGCGACCAGTCTCTTTAAGCCTCTCCGAATGCCGCCATTTGTGATGTTAACACGGGGATGGCCAGGCTCAGACTGGGACCAGGCAGAGAGCCTGAGTAGCTGTGTTCAGGGCTCAGTTTGGGCTGGAGTTGGGGTGCAGGTTGCGGCATGCTGAGGCTCGGTCTGTGGCCTTCTCTGTGGCCGGAGTGGGCACAGTGTGGGGTGAATGCAGGGCTCCAAGTGCGGCTGGAACCCTGAGAGTGTCGAAGGCTCTGTAACTGTTGTGAGAAGCCAGTCAGTGCAACCATGTTGGGGGATGCAGGTTGGGGTTGCATCTGCCTCTGTACACCCCAGTTCTTGAGTGTCAAGCTATTATCTCCAGGTATCTCAGCAAAGCTTTTCTTCAGGGCTGGGGGCTGATGACCTGTAAGGACAGGGTGCCTGGGGGGCCACAAGCCTCATCTTCCTCTGGGAGCGTCAGCGGCTTATTGACAAAGCTGGGCAGGGAGGCCATCGAGGAGGTGCTCCTCCTCCAGACGATCGCTATTCTGGAGGAAAGTAGCCGGCTGTTAGCCCGGGATGCCAAACATGGGTTGAAGGCAAAAATAGCAACACGCTGGGCCCTGGCTGGGAGGGGCTGGGTTCTGGTGGATCCGAGAGGCCTTTGCTCTCAGCCGTCTGCTGCTGACGCCTTGTTTGCTCGGCTCTCAGTATTTGCTGAGCACGTCACGTCCTACACTCCTGACCTCCTAGGGAAGAGCCTAGGTGTGTGGCATCTGGGCCTGCGAGCTCGCTGAGCTGGCAGCATCAACACTTTGAACTCATTCAAGGAGTCTTCCTGAGCATATGAGCGTCTGTGGCCAGCTGTCCCTCATACACCTTTGACCTTTTCTGGATTATTCCTGGTGTGCCTCATCACTGCCCTCCTTGGTCAGCCTCCCTTTGGCCCTGCTGTAGCCCTGTGGCTTCCCTCTCCTCCCCTGGCTCCCCAGTTCCCACCCCTCAAGAGGCCGGTCCCAGCTGAGCAACTCTGGAATCATCCCTGGTGGTAAAAAGAGCTATTTTCAGCCTTTGCATTACTGCCCAGTGGGATGGGGAGTGTTTATCCCTCGCTGCCTTTTTGTTTGCTTTTACTGTATAATCTAGGGCAGTGATGAGAGCATGATCCGGTCCTGTGTCTGGGGTCCCGGCTGGCGATTCCTGGCACAGTGATTCGGCACAAATGGAGAGCATGGGGCGGTGGCAGCCTTGGGCCCCCTCCTTGCTCAGCAGCAATCCCACGTGGGTTCACATTGGTCCTTGCTGGCATGGGGCTGCCCGCCTCCTGCTGTTTGCTGCAGACTGATGATAGCTTTTGGTGCCCTTAGCAAAGAGCTGGCAGTCTCACTGATGTGGTAGCCTCTGGAGGAGCCCCCCAGCATCCTCTGGGGGGGTCTGTGATCCCAACCTGAGCTCCACATTTCCGTGTTTGGTGCCTGGATCCTGGGTCTCTCTCCTCTGCTTTCTGCAGTGGGGTCCTGGGATGATTGGAAGGAGGGCCTGCCTTCCTGCAGGTGCTGAGAGGTCCCTCTGTCCTGTGTTCTGGGCTACTCCACTGTCCGCCCCCGGCCCCTGGCCGCCGCTGTTGTCCTGGGAGCCTGCAGGGGGCAGACTTGGTGGTGGTGCAGTGGCGGGTGCTAAGGGAACTCCCTTTGCGGGGAGGAGAAGGCGTCCTTATGGAGCAAGAGTCTGGCGGGACAGAGTGGGGACATCTGGGCCTTGGGAGAATTATTCCAAATAACTGAGAACTGTTGGGAGGCTAATTGGCAGAGCAAATGAAAGTACAATAGATAGCCAAGGCTATTAATCACTAATTATCTCCTAAATAAGGTAATTAATGAGTATTTAAATGGCATATTTATGAGATACCAGCAGGTCTTCAAAAAGCACATCTTTTCCAAAGCAACTGGTTTGAACAACTGTGTCCTACTCGGGGACCAGGATTCTAGTCTCACCGCACTGGAAGCAAGGTGGTGTGGCCGTAGGCCCGTCCGCTTCCTTCTCTGAGCTTTGGTTTTTCTCATCTGTAAACAGGGATCATAAGCCCTTCTTTGCTGACCTCATTGGGCTGTTGTGAAGATGATAGGAAGTGAAGGCCACGCAAATCGCTGCAAATAGTGTAAAGTACTATTTAGAATTTAGAGTGTTCTCTGTGAAAATATTCTAGAGTCATTTGATACAACCCCTTGATTGTACTCAGCACTGTCTGTGGCCAGGGTCAAGGCCTAGTCTGTGGCTAGAGTCATTGCTTTGTCTGTGGCCAGGGCCATGGGCTTGGTCTGTAACCAGGTCATGCCTAGGTTTGTGGCTTGCCCAGGGGCTTGATTAGGACTCTGTCTTTGGTGGAGTCATTGCTTGGTCTGTTGCCGAATTTGTGGCTTGGTCCGTGACTGGGTCAAGGCTTAGTTTGTGGCTGGGTTTGTGGCTTGATCTGTTGACTGGGTCAATGCTTAGTTTGTGGCTGGGTTTGTGGCTTGGCCTGTGGTCAGACTGATGGCTTGTTTTGAGATCAGAGTTGTGACTTGGTCTGTGACTGAGCTTAGGGTTTGGGCTGTGGTTGAGGTCAAAGTGTGGACCGTGGCTAGTCTCAGGACCAGAGTTGCTCTTGGGATAATTTGCAGCCTGACATCTTGCCCTCAATCCTTGAGGGCGCTACCCATGGTCTAATGGAACTGCCTGGTTGCCCCTAGAAGCTGGACTCCATCCTGGGCCCACAGACAGATACCCCAGAAGACAGGCCCTTCTGGGGCTCCCAGTGTGTCCCTTGAAACAGCCCAGCACACAACCTCATCAGTGGTGCATAGAGCATTTTGGGAGATAGTTAGGACATGTTTCTATAGCAACCAATCCCCAACCAGCACTGGTTTCCTTCAGTGATGCTTTTTTCTGGAAGCAGCTTCTCCTGGCCTCTCATCCCTGCCTGGGTAGCCCCACAGCCCCTTCAAGGCTGAGTAGGGGCTAGGTGACCCTGGATGAGTTGGGTCCCCAAACTCATCCTGACCCAGAGAGGGGTCTGGGGACATGCCTTGCAGAATACTTCCCGGAGAGGGACCCTCCTGAGATCTACCTGGGCTGAGCCACACTGAGCACAAAAAGAGCTTTCTCTGTGCCCAGACTTGAGCTGTGCGAGGTAGAGCCCAGGGAGAAATCTGATCAGGTCCCTGCTAGGGGGGACCACAGTCCAGCGGGGGAGGCAGGCCTGGACCCAGCCCATAAAGAGGTCCTCTGATGGACGTAGACACAGAACATTGTGAGAGCACCTGAGAGGCATGGCCCAGCCCAGTCTCAGGGGCCAAGAAAGGCTGCCAGCTGTTTCTGAAAGCAGGAATGGAAACTGGGTTGGGTTGGAACATGGAGGATGTGCCAGGCATCAGGACCTGCAGGAGCAAAGGACTGGAGGGCAAGAAGAGCAGGGGGTGTGGGGGCTTCCCAGTGGGCACCTGTTACTGGAGCCCAGACTGGTGGGAGGAGAGGCTAGGAGACAGCCATTCCTGGCCTTCAGTAGCTCACAGTTTGGGGGCAGACAAGACAACCCTGGGGAGCTGTGATGCACGCATGGACAAGAGGAGAGAGGGTTCAGCCATGTGTGGTGGTCAGGGGCAGCCAGTCCAGCCTTCCAGGGAGAGGATGGGGTCCCTGTTCTGTCCTCTGGGCTCCCATTGTGGGGGTCCAAGAAGGAGAAGAGGGGTTCTGCCCTTGGAAGCTTTAACATATGAAAGAACCATCACAGAGCTTCCACCTATGAAAGAACCTTGGAAAATCATGATTTATTTATTTCGTTTAACAAACCCTTTTATAGCACTTGCTGAGTGCCAGGCACTATGCTAAGCCTTTTTCAGATATTCATGTGAATGAATTTAAATCATTCATTTAATTTTCACAGCAGTCTCTGATTATCCCATTTTACAAAGTAGGAAACTGAGGCAGAGTGTGGCTTAGTGACGTTTACTGGCTCACCGATTAGCAAGCGGCAGAGCTGGGATTGGAACCCAGCCCCAAGTGGGAGGTGGGACAATGCTTCCTGTGAGAGGAGGGAGGCTTCGTGGAGGAGGTGTCACCCTGTCTGTCTGTGGAAACCTCACGCAAACTCCATGAATCTCCTAACTCCACATTCTACATCTGGATCCCTGGGAGCCCAGGTCAGAGCTGAGGAGCAGTGAAGTGTGATTCTGAATACGTGTGTGTGAGGCTGTGTGTGCACGTGTGGGCTCCTGCTCCGCGTGCGCACGGGGCTCCCACTGCCCACGGGGCTCCACTGCCCACAGGAAGTCCAGCAGCCTGATTATTTCAGTCACATTGGTGGTCAGGAGTGATGCTGGTGTGTGTGTTTGTGTGTGTGTGAGAGAGAGAGAGAGAGAGAGACAGGATAAAGGGACAGTGTAGCTAAATATTTTTCTTCCCTCCCTTTCCTTCCCTTCACCTTCTCTCCCCTCCCCTCCCTCCTTCCTTCCCCTCCCTTCACCCCTTCCCTCCTTCCTTCCCCTCCCCTACCCCCTCTCTCTTTCCTTCTCCCCGCCCCCCTCCGATCCCCTCTCCTTCTCTTCTAAGGCAAGGATTGTTGAATTGTTAGGGCCCATCAGGCATTGCCCTGCCCTGATTTCAGATTCAGCCTCAGGCAGGGCTGGGCATGGAAGCTGGGGCCACAGTCCAGGACCAGCAGGCCGGGCAGGCGTGGGCAGCTGTGTCCTCCCCATCTTGGCCACGCTCAGAGGCACTTGTTACCCGTGGAGGTCTGGAAATTGTGTGTGTTAGTTGAACCCCCACAGCGCCGTGGCCAGCCTAGCTGACTCCTGTGCCCCCTGCCTTGCCCTGAGGAGTGGCTCCTAACCCTTGAGGAGAAAGTGCTGGCTCCAGACTCAGCTTCTTCTGGAAGTGGCTTGATCAACGCTCTGTCCTGTCTGTCTGTCTCTCTCTCCCTCCCCGCTTCCCCAGCCTGACCAACCCTGCCCCCGCTTTCCCTTAGGGCTCAGCTCAGGTGCCCCCTCCCCCCCTCGCCCCCACAAAGCCCTTCTAGCTGGAAGATGTCTCACCGCTGGCAGGCACAGTTCACACCTGCCACACCCTGCCCTGAACGCCTGTTGTGGAATTTAGATTGGGCCAGCCTCCTCCCGCTCCTTTGTTCTTGCTGTGCTCTGTGCTCACTCAGCACTGCGGGGCTGTGCCCTGAGATGGCACTCCCTAGGGCAGGGACTGTTCCAGTTCAGCTCTGTCCCCACGCCTTCCTCCCAGGCACCATCTGGCCTAAGGTCTGGCCCAGGAGAGCCACCAGTACCTGTGCTTCTCATTTTATGGTGCCAGGGCTCAGTGGTGTCACTAGGGGGGTATGAGGGGTGCAGACCGCACCCCCAAAACTGTCAGAGGGGGTGACACCAAAACGGGCCCAGGCTCTACCAGCCCCAGTCCAGTCAGGATGCGGGCAGCCCGCCATGGTGTCAGCCATTGGGCAGAGAGGAGGGTCTCTGCCTTGGCCAATGGGAGGAGCTGCGGGGAGCAGTGGGGGATGGAATCCCACGCAGGGGGTTCACCTGCCGGCCCCACCCACCCTGGGGAGGGGAGGGGTGGGGTATGTATAATGCCATGAGTTACCGCACTGGGTGACACCAACCCTAGTGACGCCACTGCCAGGACTTTCCTCCCTGTGAAGATTTCCCTCAGACGCAGCTTCCTGAGTTCAGAGTCCAGCTTTGTGTCACTCCAAAGCCTATGCTCTAACCTCTGTGCTGAATTTTCACCCATGGCTGGGAGCTGATTTATGCGTGTGGTGGGGGAGTCCCTGGGTGATGCAAACAGTTAACATGCTCAGCTGCTAACTGAAAGGTTGGAGGTTGGAGTTCACCCAAAGGTGCCTTGGAAGAAAGGCCTGGTGATCTGCTTCTGAAAAATCAGCCATCGAAAGCCCTCTGGAACACAGTTCTACTCTGACACACAAGAGTCGCCATGAGTCTGGGTTGACTTGATGACAACTGGTTACTGGTGTGTGTGTGTGTGTGTGTGTGAGAGAGAGAGAGACAGAGAGAGAGACAGAGAGAGAGAGAGAGGTAGAGAAAACCCAAACCAGCTGCCACTGAGTCGTGTGAATCCCATATGTGCAGAGTAGAACTGTGCTTTATAGGGTTTTCATGGCTGTGACCTTCTGGAATCAGATTGTCAGGCCTTTCTTCTGAGGTGCCTCTGAGTGGGTTTGAACAGTCAGCCTTTCAGTTAGCAGCCAAACACTTAACTGTTTGCACCACCCAGGGACACTCTCTCTCTCTGTATGTATATGGCAGAGTGCATGTGAGCGTGTCTTAGGAAGGGAGAGTGGCAGGTTGGGGAGGTTTGCACTCTCTGAGGAGTGCAGACATACACACACACACACACACAGAGCTGGTGGGCAGATGGTTCTAGAACAGGGCCAGCTGAGTCCCCAGGGCTGGGGCCCCAAGAAGAGCCAGGGTCAGGCCTCTGGCCCCCTGCCCAGCTAGTCAGCAGCAGGTGGGAGGTTATCATTGGCTAAGAGAGCAGGCGATGGAGAGAGGAGAACTTGGTCCCCTGCCCAGAGCGCTGGTGGATTTATTTTTTATAAAGAGCAGCACAGCCTGGTGGTCCTGAGCATAAACTCTAGAGTCAGATGGATCTGGGTTGAAATCCCGCCTCCACCGCTTACTAGCTTTATGGCCTCAAGCACACAACTTTGCATCTCGGAGCCTCTATTTCCTTAGCTGTGAAATGGTGATTCCTTACGCCTGCTCCACTGGGTTTGATTAGGATTACTTTAGGTAATGTCTGTAAAGCGGGTAGCAGAGTGTCTGGCACACTGTATGTCTCAGAGGCTCACTTTTGTTCAGTCCCTTGTTTGTCAAACAGTTCTCTACCCTCCTCGGGGTGGTGCCGTGTACTGGACACAGAAACTGCAGATGTGAACCTGGCTCCAGGAGACTGGGGTTCTGGGCGCCCCCCTCCTCTGACTGTCAAGACCTTTAGCCCCCCTGAACTGCCCCCAGGAGCCTTTCTCACCTGGCTCTCTCCTGAAGTGCAGGTGGTAGACTCCGGAGGGGGCATGTTGGAAAGGAACCTTAAAACGTACCTGTTCCCAGCTCGCATCCGTTGCATGCCATAGTCTACCAGGTCTGGCTCCGCTTCCCTGTCCACCTCATCTTACACCTGTCTCCCCTCGATCGCTGGGCTCAGCCACATGGACTTCTTTCTGTCCCCAGGCATGCCAAGCTCATGCCCATCTTTGCCCTTGCAGTTTCTTCTTTCAGGAATGCTCTGTCCACGCACCCTTCCCCACCCATCCCACATATGTGTGTGCATGAGCTCAAATGTGTGCACACACAGCACACCACACACACACCCCACATACCCCACATGCACACCTCCACACACCCCACATGCACACCCCTCACACACCTCACACACACCTCACACACCCTACGTGCACACCCCACATGCACCCCCACATCACACACGTGCACACACACATGCACACACCCCTCACACACTCCATATGCACCCCCCACACACCTCACACACACACCACACACACCCCACACACCCCTGACACACCCCACATGCACACGCCCCACACCACACACACACACATGCACACCCCCCACCACATACACACCCCACATGCACACACACCCCCACCCACACACACACCCCACATGCACACACCCCCATACACACCACACACACGTGCACACACACCACAGATACCCACTGACACACGCACACACACTACTCACCACACCCAGAGCACACACCTCGCCACTCCCAAAGTCCCCCAAAACCCCACACACGGCACACACACACCATACCCATCACACACACACCACATCACACACACACACACACACACACGCACATGCACGCACGCACGCTTAGTGGGCCTGAGGCCTTCTCATTAGTCAAGCCTTGGCTCACCTGACACCTTTTCAGAAAGGCTTTCCCCTCAGAAACAGAGCCCTTCGGAGACACCCCCTCCCTCGCTGTTTTCTCTTTTTGAAGTGTGACCTTTGCCGCTTGCTGGCACATCAGCACACTGGAGGAAGAGCTGAGGGGAGCAGCTCCCATCCAGGAGCCAGGTGACCACTGCGTCTCCATTCCTAACGCAGCCACCTTTATAGACTCTTTTTTCACACAAGGATATAACTCAGATTCCCCCGCCCCTTTTCCAGAAGTTGTTTTGGGAAGCCCCAGTCTGAGGGGACAGAGGATCTTGTATCGCATTTTAACAAACTTCAAGTATATGTTTAAGAAGCAATGCATCCATTTTGAAAGCAAGGGGAATAAGAGTAAACAAGGCAAAATATGCATTTAAAAAGAAATTCAAATACATATATTTACAAAAAAAAAAAAAGAATGACAATAATGAGGTAAAAGATTAATCTGAAAGGAACGCCAGCTACACATTCATGGCCAAACTACCATGGGTGACAGCGTTCTTTTGATGACTGGGGCCAATTGTCCTTGTCTTTTTCCACTGTAGGTGTACAAATCCACCCGTTCCTACCTGTCTAGTCCCTTATAATTACCCCGCAGGAGACCCCTCAGGAAGGTGGACACAGTAGAGGCGAGGAGGGAGATGCTTCCTTCTCTTCATAGCACCTGCCATTGCTGAAATTATCCTTGTTGTTTACTTGTTCCAGTCTGCCTCCCCCTGCAGCCTCCACCCATAGAATCTAAGCTTTGGGACCCTCCCAACCCCCTCACTCACCACAGCATCCCAGCCCCTCACGCGGTGCTGGTACACACTGGGCACTCAGTAACCCCTTGCTGAATGAATGTTTCTGTGGGATTGGAGGCTCCCTTTGGTGCCCAATGGCCTCTTACTTCTTTGCCCACCTCTGGCTGGGAGAACATTCTCCCACAAATGGAACTGAAATGGCTTCCCTGTAGCCTGCCCCTCTAGCCCCAGTTCTGCTCCCCAGAACCTCCCATGAAGATCACCTGTCACATATGTTAGCAGAGTGTGGAAGGAACCTGGGATGATGGTAGCCTGAACAGGGCGGATGCAGTGGGGATGGAGAGTGAGGGACAAATTCTAGAGCTCTTTTTCTCTTGGGTTCTCTGGGTGGTACAAATGGTTACGCGCTTGCCTACTAGCCAGAAGGTTGGCCATTTGAATCCACCCTAAGGTGCCCCAGAAGAAAGATCTAGATCTACTGAAAAATCAGCCATTGAAAACCCTGTGGAGCACAGTTCTACTCTGCAGCACGTGGGGTCACAGTGAGTCAGAATCGACTCAACTGCAACTCGTATGGTATGATATCTCTTTTCCTTAAGGTCTAGCGCATACTCTTTGCCAGTGGGAAGTTGGCAGAAATGCCCTTCCCTTTGTTCTTGGGTGGAGTGTATACTGTATACACATGAGGGCCATGGCATGTAGGAACCCCTCGCTGAACCCTGGCTGTTCAAACTCAGGCACCAGATAGGCTCAGATACATCTTCAGATGAAACTGACTGCTTACTCTCCCATACCCAGGGACAAAATAGATGAGGAATATTTGACTATTCTTGCTTCTTCCTTTCCAAATTCTTGCTTCTCAGGAGTGGAATAGATTTGGCTAGCAAGGGATATTTGTATATGATATGTATTAACATAATATGGTTGATAGTTTTTATATCTTTAGTATTTGTTGGTTGAGAAAACACATACAGTTAGTATGAATTCAGGAAGAATTATATTGTTTGTATTCAGTATGCAGGAAGATTATACTTTTTAATCACGGAAGTGGCCACATACATTTGATTTATACCTACGTGCTTCTTTCCTTTTTTCTGGGGGGTGCTATTGTAAATGGTAGGTGTCCCTGGGTGGCATAAATGGTTAAATACTTGGCCATTAACCTTTTGGTTAGTTTAAATACACCCAGAGGCACCTCGGAAGAAAGGCCTGGCGATCTGCTTCTGAAAGGTTACAGTCATTGAAAACCTTATGGAGCACAGCTCTGCTCTGAAAATACACACATGGGGTTACCATGAGTCAGAATAGACTTGCTGGCAACTTTTTTAAAAAATTGTAAATGGTATTGTTTTTTAAATTTCAAGTTCAAACTGTCCATTGATGATATATGGGAATACAATTGACTTTTGTATATTGACCTTGTATCCTGTTATCTTGATATAACTGCTTATTAGTTCCAGGAGTTTGTTTTGTTTTGTGTGTGTGTGCAGATTTTGTAGTTTTTGTTTTCTGCACAGACATTCATGTCATCTGAGAATAAAGACAATTTTATTTCTTCCTTCCCAGTCTGTATACCTTTTCTTTTTCTTGCCTTATTGCACTAGTACATTTGAAAAATAGTATCGTATCCATGTTAGAAATACAGTTATGGTGCATCTGGATTCTCAGAATCCCTTGCAGTAAACCTGGGGCCCACAGTGGGAAATTGCTGAGCTGGCCTGCTGCCATGCTGCCCCACTGGCAGGCGAGGATCAGAAACTTAGGGGGTTCCCACAGGAAGTGTGGGGCAGGCCCAGCTTTGCACCTAGAGGTGCTTCCTGTAGCCTCTGCCTTTTCTGTGTCTCAGGACAGGGCTCTCCTCTGACTCCAAGCCCGGGAACAGGAGCTGGGACCTGTGTTTGGGAGTTTGTAGTGGGCCAGGCAAGAGGGACAGGTAAGAAGGCTATGTTTGTCCCTGGGCTGGGCTGGGGTAACTTCTTTCTCCCTTCAGGAAGAGTTTATGCTCTGGGAACTGGGCTTCAGTGTGGAAGAGTGCCAGCAACCTGCAGGGTGGTGGGTGTGGTGAGCTGGGACTGCAGCAGGTTCTCCAAGGGGTGCATCATAGGTTCACCCTACGTGTAGCTGGAAGAATGCCCACCTCTCACTTGTTTATTGATACCTACTATGTGCTAGAGGGTACATAGGTAGTTCAAGTGGTAGAATTCTCACCTTCCATGCGGGAGACTGAGAGATTCAATTTCCAGCCCATGCACCTCATGTGCAGCCACCACCCATCTGTCTGTGGAGGCTTGCATGTTGCTATGATGCTGAATGGATTTCAGCAGAGCTTCCAGACTAAGATGGACTAGGAAGAAAGACTTGACGATCCACTTCTGGAAAATCAGCCAGTGAAAATCCTATGGGTCACAACTGTTCGATCCCTTTGTGCATGGGATCGCCATGAGTCAGTGCTGACTTGACAGCAGCTAACAAGTGTGTGCTAGGCAGGAGTCCCTGGGTGCTACCAGTGGTTAATGAACTCAGCCGCTAACTGAAAGGCTGGAGGTTCGACCTAGTGATCTACTTCTGAAAAATCAGTCACTGAAAACCCTGTGGAGCGCAGTTCTACTCTAGCACACATGGGGTCGCCATGAATTGGAATCAACTCAATGGCAACTGGTTGTATGTGCTAGACAGGCTACTAGAACACCAGTTCGAGCTGGAGGGTCCCTTGGGAAGTCTGAGTCAGGTTTCTCATTGTTCAGATGGGGAAACTGAGGCAGAAGCATTGCTGGCACAGGAACCCAGGTTTCTTGATGCCCAGCCCTGGTCTGTGGGGACCGGGCATGTGTGTCTGGTAGCCAGGGTCAAAGCTTTTGGCCTGGACATTTGTGCTCAGAAAAGTGAACCTTTTGGGCTGGGGAAAGGAAGCCTCAGGAAGGACAGCTGGTGGTGTTACTGAATTTCATGGAAATGGTCTTACAGTCTAAGAGGAATCTATTGTAAGATGCATCAGTATTTTATATACCCCTGAAAAAGAATAAACAAAGTCATGATAAATAAATAACATTAATTAATTTTTAATAAAAGAATGAACAAAATCGAGAATAAATTAAATCATGGTATGTCATCATGTAAGATGCACCCCAAGTTTAAAGATATTAAAGTGTGGTAAACAGAGCCCCCTTTCCACCGTGTGTGAGGGAGAGAGAAACCTCTGTTTTAAGCAGCTGAGATCGTTTGTAAACTTGGCAAAACTCACCCTATGCTGGCTAATACACTGTGTCACCTCAGCAAAGTCCCTTAACTACCACCTCCAATCTCAGTTTTAGTACATGCAAAATGGGCTTACCAGTTCCTGCCCTGGGAGCCTCTGAAAGGTATGTGAAGTGTGAATGAAAGCTTAGGAGTTAGTGGGGAGGCACCGTGAGGGGCTGAGACCGTGAGGGGAGAGGACAGACTAAGGACGCTGACTGGTCCTTAGTCCAGGTGAACTGGCCTCACCTTCCTCATGGCCAGAGGTGGTCTCAGGCTTGGCTAACAGGTGTGTTCCCTTTGGCAGGTGGTCCTCTCCCGGGCGGCGGTGCCCCCTGGCACCTTCAAAATGTTCTCAGCGACTCAGTGGAGAGCTCGGACGATGAATTCTTTGATGCTAGAGGTGAGTGAAGCCCATCCTCACATCACTGGTGGGAGATCTTCCTAGAAATCCCAAGAAGGGGTCCCTCCTGGGGGCCAGTATTGCTCCCTCACTCATATGTGGTATTTGCAGTCCCACCCTCCACACTTAGCCAATCTGCAAGCTCCCTGAGGACAGGGACTCACCATTCTTTCATTCAGTCACTCTCTGAAATATTTTCTGAGCCTCTAATATGTGCCAGGAGCTGAGCAAAGTACTAGAGAAAGGCAGGGTCACTGCCCTCATCAAGCTTACAGACTAGTGGGTGAGGCAGCCGTTAAACAATTACACAGAGGAAATGCAGTTACAAATGGGGGGTGATGTCATCAAGCAAAAAGTTCCAGATGTTATGAGAGAGAATGATTATGGGGCACTTAATTTGGTTTGACTATGGAGGTCGTTCACTTCTCTGCAGAACTGAGGAGTACGAGTTGGCTAGGTGAAGAGCACAAGATGGTACCTTCTAGATGGAGGAACCACCACCCGTCTGTCAGTTTGTCGTACTGTGATGACTTGCATGTTGCTGTGATGCTGGAAGCTATGCCACCAGTATTTTAAATACCAGCAGGGTCACTCATGGTGGTCAGACTTCAGCGGAGCTTCCAGACTAAGACAGACTAGGAAGAAAGGCCTGGTGACCTACTTCCAAAAATCAGCCAGCAAAAACCCTGTAGTTGTTGTTAGGTGCTGTCAACTTGGTTCCGATTCATAGGACCCCATGTACAGCAGAATGAAACATTGCCTGGTCCTGCGCCATCCTCACAATCATTGCTAAGTTTGAGCCTATAGCGAAAACCCTAAAGGATCCCAAAAGAACATTGTTCGATGTAGAGCTGGAAGATGAGCTCCTTATATTGGAAGGTACTCAAAATACACAGTAGCCACAATGATGGACTCGGGCATACCAAGTATCATAAAGATGGTGCAGAATCGGGCAATGTTTAATTCAGTTGTACGTGGGTTTGCCATGAGTCAGAGCTGGCATAACGGCAACTAACAACAACACGATGAAAGAAACAGCAGACACCATGGCACTGAAGTAAAAAAGACTGGGGAACATTCTAGGAATAGAAGGAAGGCAGTGTGGTAAAAGGGAGTAAGCAAAATACATGGAAGTGTGAGATGAGGCTGCAGGGGCCGTGCAGTAATCTAGTCTGAGACTTTCAAGACCAGCCTCATAGATAGGAGGGGAGCCAGAGTGGAAGTGGGGCCCAGTTAGAGAGACTACTACAGATATGCAGCTAAGGGACAATGGCAGGCAGAGCAAATCAATTCTGCAGCCCAGTGCTTGGTACACGGCTAGCAGGCGATACATAGCAAGGGATGATATTTCAGCTGGGATTGGAAAACAAATTTTAAGAACTAGAGAGAAGGGGACCAAATGGGATAGGCATTTTAGGCAGAGAGATCAGCCTGAGCAAAGGGTCAGAGGCGTGAACATGCAGGGCTTCCCTTCACCTGGGCTGGGTGGGAGTGGATGAGAAGTGCTAATGAGGACCCTAGCCCAGGAGGGTCCTTTGTTCCCACTAGGCCTGCTTGTCCCCACTCTGGGAATTTACCATATTTAAGGTGTCAGCTCATTCCTGAGATTAGGCTAGCTTTGAAATGCCTGCCAAACTGGGCCTTGAGAGAGAAACAGACTATGTGCTGGGGGGACATCTGAACCAGGGCGGGACACTTGGGAGGTGTGATGGTTAAGACTGTCTGTCATCTTGGCTGGGCCATGATTCTCAGTGGTTTGGCAGTTATGTAATGATGTAGTTTGGCAGTTATGTAATGATGTAATTTGACAGTTATGCAATGATATAGTCATCCTCCAGAATGTGATCTTATCAGCCAATCAGTTGCAAGGGGAATTTCCTCAGGGGTGTGGCCTGCATCATATACATATATATATGCACACACATGCACATATATAACCGAAAAACCAAACCTATTGCTGTCGAGCTGATTCCGACTCATAGCGACCCTACAGAACAGAGTAGAACTGCCCCATAGGGTTTCCAAGGAGCAGCTGGTGGATTCAAACTGCTGACCTTTTGGTTAGCAGCCATAGCTCTTAACCACTGCACCACCAGGACTTCTTCAGAGTCACAGTGCCACATAGAAGACCTCAAAGCTGCCACTTGTGCCCTGAAAGAAAGCTTTATTTCTTGTAGTAACAGAGCTGATATTGCTGAAAAACAAACCCAGAGTCTTATCATAAGAGGGGCTGAATGACAATTCCAACTGAATTCCCAACCTTGAATTGTGTCTGAAGTTAAAGTGAGGGCATTGATTGGGAAGAATGGGATCCTGAAACTTGGGATGGGAACATATGGGCAGATAATCAGGAACCTGGGGACATTGAGTCCCTAAGTTTTGTTGAATCACTTCTGCCAACAAAACCAGCCTGCTTAACTCCCATCTGAAGAGATTACTGCATCTTTGTCTGCTAAGCCACCCTCCCCAGTAAAACCATTAGCCCCTCCACCCTCATCTGATGAGATAACCCAGCTGTGTCTGAAGAGCCTTTGTCTGAGTCATTGCCTGGGGTGGAGTCTGGGGTAGATACCTTACAAGGCATTGCTGAATGTTCCCAAGACCTACCCCTACAACTCATTTTTGCTTCTAGACCTATAAGTAGACTTAAGTCCCAACGAGCCCCAAAAAGTGAAGTGCAAAGTGTGACCCAGCAGTAGGTATGCTACACTCCAAAAGAACTGCTTGAGTTTTCTAATATATGCAAACAGAAACCTGGGGAATATGCATGGGAATGGCTATTAAGAGTGTGGGATAATGGTGCAAGGAACGTAAAGTTGGATCAATCTGAGTTTACTGATATGGGCCCACTAAGCACAGATTCTTCATTCAGTGTTTCAGCTCAAGAGGTTAGGAAAGGATCTAATAGTTTATTTGGTTGGTTCGCTGAAGCATGGATTACGCAGTGGCCTATATTAAATCAATTTGAACTATCAGACCTGCCTTGGTATACTGTAGAAGAAGGTATCCGAAGGTTTAGGGAAATTGGCATGCTAGAGTGGATTTATCAGGTTAGACCCACAGACCCACACATGGAGTGCCTAGAGGACACACCTTTTACCACAATGGTGAGGAACAAATTTGTTAAGGGAGCGCCAGCAACCTTGAAGACTGCTGTGATTGCTGTTTTATGTAAGTCAGATTTGACAGTGGGAATGACCCTAACTGAATTAAGACACCTACGATGGGGCTGATTGGACCCTATGGTGGTAGGGGCCAAGTGGCGGTACTCAATCGAGAAGGACAAAGTGGATGTGGTTGCTGTAATGGACAGTGGAGTCAAAGCAGCAATCAGAATAGTCTGACTCGTATGGACTTATGGCACTGGCTACTTAGTCCTGGTGTCCATAGGAGTGAAATAGATGGGAAATCTATTAAATATTTACTTGATCTGTATAAGCAGAAGAATTCTAGGCAAGTAAATGGCAGTCTAACTCGAATCACTAGAATAGAGAGTAATGGCCCCTCAATCAATTCCCAGATTTGAGCCAGTTTACAGACCCATAATCCCTTGAATGAAGGGGAGGCTGGGTCCCCTTGAGGAAGGACCCCACTACACTGTCAAAAATTTACACTGTTAATCTTTCTCCTAGCCTTCCCTAAAGGGATCTACAGCCTTTTATGAGAATGACTGTTCATTAGGGAAAAGGAAATAATCAGACTTTTCAGAGATTACTGGATACTGGCTCTGAACTGACAGTAATTCCATGAGACCCAAAACGTCACTGTGACCCACCAGTCAGGTTATTAATAGAGTCTTAGCTCAGTTTCATTTCACAGTGGGTCCAGTGGGTCCCTGAACCCACCCTGTAGGGATCTCCCCAGTTCCAGAATGCATAATTGGAATAGATATACTCAGCAACACTGGATCCCTGACAAGTGGAGTAAGTGCTATTAGGGTAGGAAAAGCCAAGTGGAAGCCATTAGAACTGCCCCTACCTAGGAAAATAGTAAACCAAAAGCAATACTGCATTCCTGGAGGGATTGCAGAGGTTACTGCCACCATCAAGGACTTGAAGGATGCAGGGGTGGTGATTCCCGCCACATCCGCATTCAGCTTGCCTATTTGGCCTGTGCAAAAAACAGATGGATCTTGGAGAATGACAGTGGATTATTGTAAACTTAACTAGGGGGTGACTGCTCTTCTAGATGTGGTTTCATTGCTTGAGCAGATTAATACATCTACTGGTATCTGATATGCAGCTATTGATCTGGCCAATGCCTTTTTCTCAATTCTAGTTTTGAAGCAGTTTGCCTTCAACTGGCAAAGCTAGAAATATACCTTCACTGTCCTACCTCAGGGGTATATCAACTCTCCAGCCCTATGTCCTAATTTAGTCTGTAGGGACATTGATGGCCTTTCCGTTCCACAAGATATCACGCTGGTCCATTACATTGATGACTTTAGGTTGAGCGGACCTATTAAAGAAGTGTCAATGACTCTGGATTTACTGTAAAACATTTACATGCTAGATGGTGGGAAGTTAATACCACAAAAATTCAGATGCCTTCCACCTCAGTGAAATTTCTAGGAGTCCGGTGGTGTAGGGTATGTTGAGATATTCCTTCTAAAGTGAAGGATAATTTGTTACATGTGGCCCCTCCCACAACTAAAAAGGAGGCACAATGCCTGGTGGGCCTCTTTGGATTTTGGAGGCAGTATATCCCTCATTTGGGTGTGCTACTCTGGCCTATTTATCAAGTGACTCAAAAAGCTGCTAGTTTTAAGTGGGGCCCAGAGCAAGAGAAGGCTCTTAACAGGTTCAGGCTGCCATGCAAGCTACTGTGTTACTTTGGCTATATGATCCAGCTGATCCAATGGTACCTGAAGTGTCAGTGGCAGATAGAGTGCTATTTGGAGTTTTTGGCAGGCCCCTATTGGTGAATCACAGCACAGACCCATAGGATTTTGGAATAAAGTCCTGCCATCCTCTGCAGATAACTACTCTCCTCTTGAGAAA